TTTATTGTCGTAGATCCATGAATGTGGTGTCAAATCGACCCGGTCATTGAGGACAGGTGTGCTATGACTTTTCTAAGCGATCGGTTTTACGATGTTCGACTGGCGGGCGATAAATCGGACAGAAAAAGTCCCATAGACTTAACATTGGCACAAAATTGGTGAGATCATATCTTTTGAACAGAAGGTCATAGAGACTTGGGGTTGGGCTCATTTTACTCTGCCTATCATGCAGCCAACAAGTAGAGACATAATAACTTCATATTTACGCCCTAGCAACCACTTAGGGCAGCCTAGCAACCATAAATCAACATATTCAAGTCATTTCTCAGCTTCAGAAAATAGAAGAAACATCGATTTTGCCTTTTTTGACTTAGACTGTCAACTAGTGTTTAAATATAATCTCATACACTGTATAATCAAACCATAGCAACCATACAGAGTACCCTAGTAACCACCTGAACACACGAATAAGCCATTTCTCCGCTGAATAAGCCATTTCTCATCACACAAACATTGTACAGACATGTTTGGTGTCTCGTATGCAATCATGTACCACACTCTAGCAACCGGGTGGTGAGTTTTGCCACTGCAAGCACCACTTCACATTTTCCTCTGGAAATGTACATTCTAGTTAGTGGTGCTTGCAAAGCAACACTATTGTTATCCTGCATACTTATTATTCTTTTTCTTATTCTTATTATTCCGGACACTTTTTCGGCACGCTACTCCTCCCGCAGCTTTCGTCACAGACCCATGAGAGTGGTGTCAAATCGACCGGCTCGTTTAGGAGAGGTGTGCTATGACTTTTCTAAGAGATCGGATGTACGATGTTCGCGCAGCGAACGAAAAAGCGGCCAAAAAAAGGCCCATTGACTTACATTGAAAAATTTTCAAAAATTCAAATCCCAACTGTCACTTTCTCACAGACACAAAAGGGCCTGACAGCCCTGCTGTCAGGCAGTCGTCTCTCTCTCCCTAGGAGGATTTATTTAATCAAGCATCCAGTAAATAATGGCCTAAAATCTTCATAGTCACACCATAGCAACCAGTTACAGCACCCTAGCAACCGTGGGCGATAGGCACGAGGCCGCAGGCCTCGTGCCATACTAAATAACTCTATAAAAACTCTATAAAACTCATTTTAGAGACTAAATAGTAATCATCTGTTAAAAATACACGCCGACATCACAGACCCCTGATTGAGGCGTCAAATTGTGCGGATTATTGAGGAGAGGTGTGCTGTGACTTTCGTAGCGATCGGGGTACAGTGTTCGCCCCAGGGGCAAATCATTGGGTAAAAAAGTCCATAGACTTTTAGTGTTTTTCCTACTATGGTAAATTGCATAGGGATTTTGTATTGAACATAGCTCTGGATCACAGTGTCATAGAGACAAGGGGACGGGCTCATTTTACTCAGACGACCAATTCAGTCTCTCAGGATCATTGTGAAGCTATTAAGCCACGCCCTAGCAACCATTTAGAGCACCTTAGCAACAACTCCCATAGACTTCCATTAAAAGAGATCAAAGGGATATCTCAGGATATAAGTGTCATAGAAACATGAGGGTGGGCTCGTTTGACTTGGGCCAGCAAACAGCCAATCATGAATCACCTCAACAATTTCTGGCCATGCCCTAGCAACCATTGTAGAGCACCTTAGCAACCAAAATCCAAAGAGGGATATCTTCCATTCTGAATGTCATAGAGGCATGGGAGTTGGTTTTTTATCATTCATACTGACAAGCAGCCTTTGGAGTTTCATGATTGGCAGCTACCAAGCACTCCCTAGCAACCAAACAGAGTACCCTTAGCAACCATTTTGCAAGGCCTACATCTCTGCATCAAAAACATCGTATAGAGATGGGGTTGGTTCATACATTACATTGACTTTGGAGTTTCATGATTGGCAGCTACCAAGCCACTCCCTAGCAACCAACAGAGTACCCTAGCAACCATTTTGTAAGACCTACATCTCTGCAACAAACATCGTATAGAGATGGGGGTTTGCCTTTGTCAACTAGTGTTTAAATATAATCTCATTACACTGTATAATCACACCATAGCAACCATATAGAGTACCCTAGTAACCACCTGAACACATGAATAAGCCATTTCTCCGCTGAATAAGCCATTTCTCATCACACAAACATTGTACAGACATGTTTGGTGTCTCGTATGCAATCATGTACACACTCTAGCAACGGGTGGTGAGTTTTGCCACTGCAAGCACCACTTCACATTTTCCTCTGGAAATGTACATTCTAGTGTTGTGAATACTATTCTCCAAGACAAAACTTTGGCACGCTACTCCTCCCGTATTTTTTGTCGTAGACCCATGAATGAGGTGTCAAATCGACCAGCTCATTTAGGAGAGGTGTGCTATGACTTTTCTAAGCAATTGGTTGTACGATGTTCGTCTGGCGGGCGATAAATCGGCCGAAAAAAGTCCCATAGACTTAACATTGGCACCAAATTTGTGAGATCATATCTTTTGACCAGAACGTCATAGAGACTTGGGGTTGGGCTCTTTTGACTCGGCCTATCATGCAGCTAACAATTAGTGACATAATAACTTCATATTCATGCCCTAGCAACCACTTAGGGCAGCCTAGCAACCATAAAACAACATATTCAAGCCATATCTCAGCTCCAGAAAATAGAAAAAAACATGGATTTTGACAATGTTTGACTTAGACTGTCAACTAGTCTTTAAATATCATCTCATACACTGTACAATCACACCATAGCAACCATATAGGGTACCCTAGTAACCCTACAAACACATGAATAAGCCACATCTCAGCACCAGAACATCGTACAGACATGGTTGTTGTCTCATATACAATTCTGTACCACACTCTAGCAACCGAGCGAGCTTTTTGCCACTGCAAGCACCACTTCACATTTTCCTCTGGAAATGTACCTAGTTAGTGGTGCTTGCTGAAAGCAAGGCAACACTATTACTATTGTGTTTTTTGAGCCGGCCCAAAGTTTGGCACGCTACTCCTCCCGCAGTTTTTGTCACACACCCATGAATGAGGTCTCAAAACGTGCGGAATATTCGGAATGGTGTGCTATGACTTTTCTAAGCGATCGGGGGTACGATGTTCGCCCGAAGGGCGAACAAATTTCCCAAAAATCCCATAGACTTAACATTGCGACAAACTTTGACGACTCATAGCTCCGAGCGAGAATTTCACAGAAGCCTGCGATTTACCACATTTGAAGAGGCTGACAGGCTCTGTAAGAACATACCTCACAAATGTGGGTAAAAGTTGCACCCCTGGGGGGCAGGAGCTGCCCAAATTTTCCCCATTGACTCCCATGTTTATTTATTATTCTTCTTATTATTATTCTGGCCACTTTTTTGGTTCGCTACTCCTCCCGCAGATTTTGTCACAGACCCATGGGTGAGGTGTCAAATCGACCGGCTCATTTAGGAGAGGTGTGCTATGACTTTTCTAAGAGATCGGGGTACGATGTTCGCCCAGGGGCGAAAAACAGCCAAAAAAAATCCCATAGACTTAACATGGCGAAAAAAATTTGACGAGTCATAGCTCTGAGCGAGGATTTCGCAGAAACTTGCAATTTACCACATTTGAAGAGGCTGACAGGCTCTTTAAGAAAATACCTCACAATGGGGTAAAGGTTGCACCCCTGGGGGGCAGGAGCTCCCCAAATATTTTCCCATTGAAATTTTCTAGTATAGCATTTTACTATTCCAGGAAAAAGTTTGGAGCACTCCTACGTCCACATTTTTTGTCACAGACCCATGAATGAGGCATCAAATCGTGCGGCCTATTGAGGAGAAGTCTTCAAATGAATTTTTATAAGAGATCAGGGTACGGTGCTCGCCCAGGGGCGAACAAATTTCCAAAAAATCCCATAGACTTAACATTGAGACAAACTTTGACGACTCATAGCTCCGAACAACGATTTCGGAAAAATGTGTGATTTTCCACATTTGAAGAGGCTTGCAGGCTCTGTAAGAATATACCTCACAATGGGGTAAAAGTTGCACCCCTGGGGCAGGAGCTGCCCAAAATTTTTCCCCATTGACTTTCCTATGGTGAAGGACGTCCCATCAAATGCATGTGTTTTTCCTACTATGGTAAATTGCATAGGGATTTTGTATTGAACATAGCTCTGGATCACAGTGTCATAGAGACAAGGGGGCGGGCTCATTTTATTCAGACGACCAATCAGTCTCTCAGGATCATTGTGATGCTATCAAGCCACGCCCTAGCAACCATATAGAGCACCTTAGCAACAACTCCCATAGACTTCCATTGAAAGAGATCAAAGGGATATCTCCGGATAGAAGTGTCATAGAAACACAAGGGTGGTCTTGTTTGACTCGGGGTACCAAACAGCCAATCATGAATCACCTCAACAATTTCTGGCCACACCCTAGCACCATTATCGAGCACCTTAGCAACCAAATTTTAAAGAGGATATCTTCCATTCTGAATGTCATACAGGCTTGGAAGTTG